AGGACCAGCAGAGCACGATCGGGCTGCTCTGTTTCTGCGTGGCGAGCGTCACAGATGCAGCTCTCTGCAGCTGTCAGACTCATCCACGCGGTTTCTCTGACGAAGGGCGGCGCCGAGTCCAGCTCTGATCTCCGAGCCGTTCGACAGCGTGCTGGAGGTGAAAGGGCCCCGACAAACCCCGCCCACTTCTGTATTTGTTTTCATTAGTGGCAGTGCGAGGAAACAAAGGACAGCTCTCCTTTTTTCAAAGATTATTTTCTCAGTGAGTCGTTGTGTTGAAATAAAAGTGACGTGAGTATTGATCTGTGATTGGGAGTGTGATTTCTGCCCCGATCGGCTGCTGTGAACACGAGGCACACGAGGCGGTGACACAGACTGAACAGAGGATGATGTCGTCGTGTTGTTCCCACATCATCATCATAATAAATGTCCCAGGTTCAACATTGCAGCTGACCAATCACATCGTTGTGACGTCATACTTTTGCAAGCCAAGCGATTCATTTATGACGTTCCAGTGTTGCCAGGACAACATGATGCTTACCGTTTATTAAAGAACAGCTGGGTCGGCGACAGCGGCGGATTCTCACAAGTTCAGTAGATTTTTTTTTTTTACGGCGTTTTTTTCCGAAGTCACAAAAGTATGACGTCACAACGATGTGATTGGTCAGTTGCAATGTTGAACCTGGAACATTTATTATGATGATGACGTGGGAACAACACGAGGACGTCAGATTGATAAAAGGTAACGACGCCAACGAGGATCAGAGCCGAGAGACAATCAAACAGTTTATGAGATGAAAAGCTGGGAGAAGGTATTGATCAGTCTGTGCACTCAACCCCACCCACACCAAAGTGATCACACCTGTATGTCACTGTAACAGTTGTTACGTTAGTATTTGACCACTAGGCGGAGCTCTTGTAATGATAATGTAATTAACGCATTTTATTTTGTATGTTTTATTTTTGTGTTGAGCATGTTAACATTTTCCTTTTTTGCCTACCGGATTGGTGTA